TTCTGTTATTAAATCTGGCTCATGTGGGGGAAATTATCTCACAACAACTCCAGCTTATGCTCTTCTATGTTTTATTGGTGGTGCTCGGACCATCACAGTCCATAGATCTCATCCACCCAGTCATCCAGCCATTCATTAATTCATTCTGTCAACACGTATCTGAGTCCCTATTACATCACCTGAAAGACGGACATAGCGTAATACTACTATTGTCAAAGGCTGTTTGGAGAATTAAGATAATTTCTATAAAGCATACTGCCTAGCACATGGTAACTCCTTGTAATAATTATTATCATTAAATAAGTCCTCAGAAGAGCCCATTGAAAGACCAAAAAAAAAAAGCCCTGTATAAATAGAGAGGGCAAAGTTGCATCTGAAGGGTGAACTATTCCTGGGGAAAAGATGGATTCCTTAAATTAAAAACTGGAACTGAGGACATGGCCCCCACTAGATAGCAGGAAGCCCTGGTCTCTTACTTTGGACCATGAAGTGTCAGGAAAGCCAGGAAGGTATTGCTTGGTAGTAGATGTTAAATTGGCACCTATCACTTAGAAATGGCTGGGAATGTGGAGTCAGATAAAAGAGATACAGACACAATTTAAAGGAAATAGGGTGGAGCTTTTAAGTCTTGGGAATAAGATAGTTATAATAGAATCAAAATTCTTGTCCCTTGTAGGCCAGGCTGATTAAATGTATTTTCTGTGTTTATTTCCCCATTGTCCTCCTTAACATTGAACAAAAGTTTTGTGCCGCTCTTACATGACTAGACTGCACTCAGAATATATCAGGAACAGTGCTAAAAAAGGAGCAGCCAGGCAGAACAAAGTCAGGGAGAAGCAGGAACCAGAGGGTTAGATTCCCCAGAGAAGAACAAGCACCAGGAGACCCTTCCTATGGCTAATCTGGGAGGAGCTGGGCTGATATCTGTAGGAAACTGCCAATTCCTTGCAACCTGTTGCACTTCCAATCTATGTGACCTAAAACTGGGTTTTAAATCCTTTCTAGCCCAGACACAAACCCCAAAAAACTGTACAGGAAAATATTGACTGATTTGACTGCATAAAAGGTAAAAAATATTTGTATAACAAAAGATACCAAACTCAGTTGGGTGTGGTGGTGCATGTCTGTAATCCTTGGGGTTTACAGGCAGGAGGATCTCAAGTTCAAAACCAGCCTCAGCAATTTATTGAGGCCCTAAGCAACTCAGTGAGACCCTGTCTCTAAATAAAATACCAAAAAGGGATGGGGATGTTGCTCAATGGTTAAGTGCCCCCAATCCTAGGTACCAAAAACAAACAAACAAACAAACAAACAAAAAAACCCCCCAAAACTGAATTATTAGCAAAGGAGTGGAAGAAAGTATTCATAAATTTTAATGTTTTAACATTATACCAGGGAAGAACATCTCTAATGCATAAGGAGCTCCTATCATTCACCAAAAAAGATGAAAAAGCCAATGAACAAAAAATACAAATAATTTCAGCAGAAATAGATATGCAAAATGTCCATCTGCAGTTGTAATTAATGGGATGCAAGTTAAAACAAGATGTCATTTTTTTTTGCCCACAAAACGTAAAGGGAAGTGGGCAGTTCCTTTCATGGATGGCGACAATGAAAATGGGTATGCTTTTTAAAAGGAATTTTGCTGTATCTGTAATATTTAAAGTATGCCTACCCCTTGTTACAATTCACTTTCAGGAATCTACAGTGTCCAAATATCTCCACATGAAAGCAAAAATAGAAGGATGTCAAGGGCAACATAAAACACTATAAAGGGCTGGCGCTCATTTAAACAGAAGGATACTGAGACACAGAGAGAATTAGATAATTTGCTCAGGATCAAACAGCTAGTGTGTAGTACCGGCAAGATTTTAACCCAGGCAATCTTCTCTAGTCTTCCTCAACCACTATGCTCCTGAATAGAGAGTAAACACAATATTGGTAAAGCCCTGTTTACCACAGGATCCAGCGAAGCAATTAAAGACAATGAGAAAGATTTGTCTACCAATGTGGACATATCTCTAGGAAACAATAATTGAGGGGAAAAATTTAGGCTGCAAAATACTATTGGTATACATGTATGTATAAGCAAATATATATATTTGAGAATAAAGACCTTGAATGATAAAATAATGTATGTGGAAGAAGAATTGGAAGTGTAATTTTTCAGGTTATATTCTATACATTTCTGGTTTATTTGAACTTTTACAAGTATATATTCTTTCTTTTCTTTTTCTTTTTTTCTTTTTTTGATACCGAAGATTGAACCCAGTGGCACTTTACCACTGAGCTACATCCTTGGCCCTTTTTATTTTGAGACAGGGTCTTTTAAAATTGTTCAAGGCTTGGCCAAGTTGCTGAGGCTTGCTGCTGGCCTTGAACGTTTGATCCTCCTACGTCAGCCTCCTGAGTCTCTGGGATTTCAGTCATGTGCCACCGTATCCAGCTATTTGTGTATTTTTTTTTTTATAAGACAGAAATTGTCATACTAGATAGCAAGAAGAAGGAAGGGGGTGGGGAGAAGGAGAGAGAGAGAATGTTTTCACTCAAACCAAGAGATTAGTTTTTTTCTTCTTCCAGGTAGACACAATGGTGTAAATGGGTAAATATCTTTTATGCTTTTATGACTTTTTCTTAGTCTATATAAATGGCCATACATAGAAGTTTCCCAGTATATGTAATATGTTGATCACTACTCTTCTTTTAAAATGAAGTTCCATGTGTAATGCTTGGGACCACAGCTTCCCAATCAAGCCCAATAAAAATATATAGCTGATCATTGCAAAATTAATTTGTAACCTGAGAACCACATAGTGCTCTTTCTGCCTTGCATATTATTGTTACCAGGAAAAAGAATCCAGAGTTGTAATTATCTAATTATTTTGCTTCAATGCATAAGTAGGGGGAGTGTCTAGCTCACTCTTTGTGGTGGGATCTCTGAAGATATAAATAACTCAACTTACAGACTTAGAAGTCTTACCTTTTAACTTATAGTCAATATGAGATTATCTGAGATGAAAAAGCTATTGGATCATCTGGGGCCTTTTCCTGCATTAATCCAAGTAAGAGTGGCTCTACTCCAAAAGGAGGGCAGTTCCAGAAACCACTTGCTGATTAAAAGATTGCTTAACATGGGCAGGGTTTAGTCCATCTGTGGACTTATCTTTGACCTGCTAGTGAGAAGGTTCTTAAGATTCTTACTACTTATGGATAACAGGTGGCAGCTTTTTTGGGGGAGTGGCCCATGTACAGTATAGTTTTTAAATTTCTGAAGTTTTAATATGCTCTTAAACATCTTCACAGAAAAAAAATCTTACTTTGGTACAATCGTATTCTCTTCCCTTTCTCACAGCTGCTTATTTCATGTAGTTTTAATTAGCGTGCACAATTTATTTTGCATTTTAAAATTTTATTTCCCAGTACACATTTTCATGCACGTGCCAAAAATTTCACATGTTCCTCACAGTCTGCATACCTGCCAGGATTCTTTCTGATAATGTGACAGAGCTTGTTTGGATTATTCAATCGCTGGACAGTTGGGTCCCTTCCCAGGTCTAGGTCATTACGAACGTTCTGAATAACCCTGCTGTAAACATTTTATGCAAGCGCTCCCCCACTTCCCCCTTTGGATCATTTCCTTAGAAATGTACTTCCTTAAATGGGTTTACTGGGTCAAAGGGGCTCTATGAACAGTTTTATAGCTGTTGGCACATATTGTTCAGATTGCGCCCTGGGAGAGTGGACCAATGGCACCGGCCGCGAGCCGCTAGGAATGCGCAGGAGCGGTCCCTATAGCCTCCCCTCTCTCGCCTCCCGGCAAAAAAGGCCGCGAGTGGAAAGTGTTTTGCAGTCGCTCTCCCGTTCTCTCGACGTGGCTGGCGAAGCCCGGCCGTCAGGGAGGTGCAGGAAGGCTCCGCGAGCCCAGGCTTTCTGCCCCGGGGGCGGAAGCAACTCTTCCCGGCCCTCGCGCCCCAGGACTCGGATTCCAGCCGCCTCCGCTCTTTCCGAATTCCGGGCTCCAGCGCGCGGCGCCCCCGCCCGCCCGCCCGCGGCCTGGGAGCCGAGCTCGGCGGGTGAGGCCGCGACCCGCGCGCGCTGTTATTTTGGCGCGGGCGATGCAGGGCCCGCATAGCTGCGCGCTGAGTCAGCGGGGCCCGGGGACCCGCGAAGGGCCCCTCCCGGCGGCGCGGGGACAGGGACAGGGACAGGGCGGTGGGGGGGGCTCCGCCTCGGAGGCCTCAGGGTCGGCCCGCCTGGAGGGGAGCCCCAGACAGCAGTCCCACCCCTGGCTCGGCGGTGACCGCGCGCCGGCCATTGAGAACCCCCAAAAAGGCGGAGGAGGGAGGCGCAAAAGAGAATCGAAATCGCTCGCGCAGGCAGGAGGGAAGAAAAGGCAGAGCGGGCGGCGAGCAGGGGCCGGTCGGCCGGCGGGAGCGCGCGCGGCGGTGTGGGCGGGCCGCGGCCGCGCGCGGGGGGCGGGGCTTGCAGGCCCGCGGGCACGCGCGCCGGCGGCCGCGGGCGGAGGGGCTTGTGGGTAGCGGCTGCGCGCGGCTGGGACGGGCCGGGGCGCGGGAGTGCGTGAGAGCAGAGCGGGCTCGTGGGACGGAGAGGCTGCGGCGACATGGGCGCGGGCCGTCGGCGGCCGTAGCTGACCGCGCCTGGGCTTCTGCCTCCCGGGCCCCGAGGGCGGGGCGGTCCAGGCGGCGGCTGTGGCGCCACTTCCCCGCTCCGCCCGCGGAGTCCTGCGGGAGCTCGCCGCGGACCAGTGGACCGGGCGGCGCGAGGCTGCCTGAGGGGCGGGGACGCCGTCTGCTCCTCGCCGCGCCCGGCCGTGCCGGGCCGGGCTGAGCGGATCCCGAGAGCAGTGCCTCGGCCCAGGCCGGGTGCGGAGCACCGGAGCCGGAGGCGGGCGGTGGGCCCGGCGGAGCTCCGCCCGGGGCCGGCGGTTCGGGGGCGGCGCTAGGCCCGGAGGCGGCGGAACCGGAGCGCGAGGAGCCGGACTGCGGGCCGGGCGGCGGCGGCATGAGCCGGCCCCCGCCGACGGGGAAAATGCCCGGCGCCCCCGAGGCCGTGCCGGGGGACGGGGCCGGCGCGGGCCGCCAGAGGAAGCTGGAGGCGCTGATCCGAGACCCTCGCTCCCCTATCAACGTGGAGAGCTTGCTGGTAGGTGGCCGGGAGCCCTGCCCGCTCCTGTCCCGGAGTCAGACCCCTCTGTCCACCCGTCGGTGGGGAGCGCCGAGGTCTCGCCCCACCCGCCCAGCTTCCGGCTGCGGGATCCGAGACCAGAAGCTCCAGACTGAGCTCCTAGAGTGGGGACCCACCTCGGGTCCCTCCTTCCACCTCCTTGGGGCGGGTGTCATCCCGGCTGGCCCTTTCTTGAAATGCAGGGAGGAAACACCTCTCCGCTCCTTCCCGCCCACCCACTGGGTTTGGGGAGGAAAGTGGAGGATTGGCTGTCCCTTGCACCCAGACTAGCCGATTTGAAAGTGTCATGCTGCGTGGGGCCTCGGGTTCTAGCCAGGGAGAAGGAAACCTGATGCTGGCTCTCTGTTGGCAGTACCAACCTGGGTACATGACAAAGAACTGCTCCCACTTCTTTTACTAGGAAATCTTGGAACACATAGCTGAAGTTTTCCCGTTTTCAGTAGTTTTTGAACATTCCATAGTAGCTGTTTAGTGTATTTTAATTTATGTAAATGTAATTTCCTCAGAGCCCCCCCACCCAAAAAAAATCAGTCTGAATTGTAGAATAGAATAAATCTTCCCCCTTCATTGTATCTTTCCTGAGATGGCCTTTGAATCCAAATTTATATCTATAAAGGCTACTAGTTGGCTCTTGATTAAGGAACACGTTTTAGAAATAAATGCACGGTAGAGTGCTGGTGTATTTCTGATTTCTGTTATGTTAGTTGATTAGTGTGCGGTAGAGATGTATTTATGGGATAAGATGGTGTGGACTTCTCTGGGAGAAGAAAGCGAAAAAGAAACTCTGACTATTAAGTTAGCTCTGGAAGACTAGCGTTAGGATGGGCAATCTGACATTTTGGGCCAGAACGCAGAAGTTCAGTTCTGGGCCTGCTGGGAGAAACCTAGTGAGTATATATGATCTCCTCCCTTCCCACTGATTTTTTGACTTTTCTTCCGAGGCCCTCAGTTGTCCTTTGAGGTTTCTGGACTCATTTGCAAAGTGACTCCCTTCAGTTTGGCCAAAATGCAGCAACTGATTGGAGAGTGTGTATCTTTCTGTACATTATGTAGAATGTAGTGATGTACTATATTGTGTCAGAATGTAGTGATGTTATATCAGATATTTTTGATTTTTTTTTAACTGATTTTTGGGTTTGTGTGTTGTTCCTGTGTTCTCAGGGGAGCATGATACTCTGGACAGACTTTGGAAGTCTTAAATTGGTAGTGGGATTGGTTGCCTAGAGGTCCTAGCCTTTCTTTAGCTGAGGCAGTCTCTGGGCTTCTCTCCCAGCATTCTCGCTTTGGTATTTCGCTAACAAAACTTTGACCTAAGGCCAGAAAGTTCAGTTAAAAATAGTACCTGTAAACCTCAAGCATTCATCAGGTTCAAACTCAATCCCAGATAGAAATTTTTTACACTTTCATCTCGAGTCTTTAGTGATGTTAATTACTAGTGTTATTCAGAGGTTGGAACTAAGTTGTTTATATGTTTGATATGAATATACGTTTTTTATTAAAGTATTTTCTAAATTACTAAAAGGAAGGCTGTTTTAAAAATGAAACATTTCACATTCTCAGTAAATTTAGTCTGTTCGTTTATTGAGTGCTCAGTACCACTAAGACACATTTGCTAAGATGATACATTACTGGTATGGGCTGCACTTCAGATGCTGCTGACTTGATGGCACTGTTCCTGCTGCTTTTAGTTGATTAAGTCTTTCTGAGTATGAATATGAATGGGATTCTGAAGAGCAATAAATATTACCAAGCCAAAAATTGTTCCTTACTCTTTGGACCAAGATTCCTCGTGCTTCTGTTGCCAGTTGACAAAATTGGAAAAAAAAAAAATCTCAAAGTTATAGCAAATTAATTTCAAATTATGTAAGTGCTAGGGCCAAATTATATTGTCATATTGTGTGCATGTGTGAATATGTAACAACAAATCCCATCATTATGTACAACTAACTATAACAGTAAAAAATGTGGGAAAAAAATTAAATTATATTTCATCCTATTAAATATTAGAATAAATTAATGTTTTAATTGTGACAGCACATACATAAAATTTATGATTTTATCTTTTTTTTTGGGGGGGGGGGGTGCCAGGGACTGAATCCAGAAGTACTTAACCATTGAGGCACATTCCCATCTCTTTTATATCTTATTTTGAGACAGGGTCTCACTTAGTTGCTGAGGGTCTAGCTAAGTTGCTGGGGCTGGCTTTGACTTGCAGTCCTCCTGCTTCAGCCTCTGAGCCTCTGAGGTTATACGTGTGTGCTACCACTACGCCCAGCGTTTTAAACATCTTCAAGTGTTCAGTTGAGTGGCATTAAGTCCATTTACACTGTTGATCAACCTTTTCATCTTTCCATACCAAAACTCCGTAAATTATAAGAACTTCTGTGTTCTGAAATAATGGCTCTTGTCACTTTAAAGATTTGAAACTTTCCATCTAGACTGTATTTCATAATTGATAAGTATTTTACTGCACATCACATTTCTTTGGTTTTGCTCTAGGAAAATAAATATTTCGTCTTTAATAGAGAAAACTTAAAGGAAAATAGTCTAATACAAACCCAGGCATGGAACTTAATACTGCATTCAGGAGTTCAGAAAGTACGGTTGAAAATTGTTTATTGCAGAACATGACAGAAGTGAGAAGACAGAGTATGCCAGAAGTAAATGTATCCTGCCTGCAGTAGTCTAGGCCTAGAAGACAGACCACAGGTGGGGGAAAAGTTACAAGATGACCTGTAAAATGCTTACTGTGCTCAGTGCTTGTTACATAGTAAGTAGTGCTCATTGAATGCAGTTCCCTTCTGTGTGCATTTAGCATATTTTTAGTTAATAGCTTTAAGTTTTCTTTTCCTTTTTTTTTTTTGTTAATATTTATTTTTTAGTTTTAGGTGGACACAATATCTTTATTTTCTTTTATGTGGTGCTGAGGATTGAACCCAGTGCTCCACGAATGCCAGGCGAGTGCGCTACCATTTGAGCCACATCCCGAGCCTGCTTTAAGTTTTCTTTGAAAAAATAATTTTATTTACAACTGTTTCTTGTTACATAATTTTGAGTGGATATCATCATTTGAATTTACCATCATAAAACTGTGAGAAAGAATAGATAAGAGCTGAATTCCAAGACTATCTTTGTAGAGACTAAGCTATCTTGTTTCTTTGCAGAAATCTAGTTGCTTTACATGGGTTCTTAAATTAACCCAAAGAAAGTATATCTCTTTAGTGGTTACAGCTTGGGAACTACTTTCAGGTGGGGAGGGCTTCAGTGATATACATTTTTCAGTTGAACCTTTGGGTTAATACTTGTATTTTGTCCAGATTCAAGTTCTCCTACTGCTTGCCTATGATGATAAAAAGAGAGATGTCTTTCTAAAGTCTTTACTTTTGGATTTTGATTTATTTTACTCTTTCAAGGTGTTAGTAAATAGTCAAAACAACCTGTAGAACACTGTTACTTAAGACTGTGTATCGGCAAAAGTGGTTAAAGTTTATTTGCAATTTTCAATGATTTAGAAAACAAAACAATTAGATTGATATCAGTATACCTGTAAACTTATAAAAATATTTCTTATTATAGTAGCTAGATTCTTTCAGCTTAATGCTGTTTTTTTTCTAATTAAAATAAGATCATGTGGTGTTTTTCCCACTATGTAATGAGAATGTTATGAAGATATAATAACAAAGAAATAGAAAAGAGGATGAAAAATGTTTTGTGTTTTTTTTAAAGTTGGACACAGTATCTTTATTTTATTTATTTATTATTTTTTATGTGGTGCTGAGAATTCAACCCAGTGCCTCACATGTGCAAGGCAAGTGCTCTACAGCTGAGCTATAACCTCCCAGCCTCTGAAAAATGTTTTTATACATGTTTTTCTTTGTGAAATAAGGGATGGACATTTGCAGCATATAGAGTAGTTTTTTGTAAAACTGTATTTTGATGATTAAGAAATCTTTAAAGAAAATGAATTAGTTCAAGTGATGCATGCAATTTACTATTTAGGTGAAGTTGAACCTCTTTTCAGGTCCACAGTCCCTTTTCCACAAGACTGATACATAAAAATAAATTTTGCTAATATTTATTTGATAGTAACATCTGGCCTATCTGATGCTTGAATGTTTGTAGTCCATTCACCCCTCTTGAGAAGCTAATAATAGCTTTCAATGGAGAAATATTAATATGTTTGATTTCAGGATGCTCCCCCATATTCCCAAAGGGCTTTAGGGAATATACAGTATATATTCTGTATTATTCTAAAAATCCAAAAAAATTGTAGTTTGAAACATCTTGGCCCCAAGGTAAGGTCAGTGTAGACTAAGGAAATGTAGGTTTGTGTAAATAGTTGTAAAGAATAGTGAATAATTATCTTAAAGTATAAGTTTTTTGTTTGTTTTTGCTTAGTCTTGACCAGATAATTCTTTTTTCCCATTTTGAATTCTAAGATATTGAAACAATATAACTTGTAAATATAAGGATTTTTTTTTTTAATATTTATTGAGTTGTAGATGAATACACAGTATCTTTATTTTTTTATGTGGTGCTGAACATTGAACCCAGTGCCTCAAACATGCGAAGTAAGCGCTTTACTTCTGAGCTGCACACCCAGCCCTGCAAATATAAGCTTTGAAGCATGAAAAATTCATGAAATCACTACACAAGTTAGTAAATACATCACCAGTTCATTAAAGTATCTGTGTGCTGCTGCTGCTTAATTCAGTGTTTGTGCCTCCTTTCCTGTCTGCTACCCTGAAAGTTTTATTGTTTCTTTATTTCATAAATTACTACATTTGTGCATATCCCTAGAGGATATTGTTTTGTTTTATTTTTTCTTAACTTTCTAAAATGTTAACATTTGTATCTATTCTTTTGTGACTTGCTTCTTTAACTTGTATAGCTCTCAGTAATGTAACATAATGCAATTTAATAGTTTAAAATTTTTACTAACATTTTATTATAGAAAA